GAATGACACTTGTACCCCTGCATCCTAAATGTAATTACTATATGTATCCCTATTCCTTCCCTATAAATATAGGATTTTGGTTCTCATTATAATACACACAAGTCTATTGATTTCTCTTATTCTCTCTCTTTTTATAACAATACACACACACACACACACACACACACACACATTCTAACTCTCAATAGGACTTCCTAATAGATTTTCAACTAGAATTTGTCAAACAAACTTGAAATAGGATTCCAAATACATTTTTTCTTAAGCCGACTTTAATTATAACTCCAAATTATCTTTAAATTAAAATTAGGATCATACACTAATTCTAATAAACTTCACCTTGACACAAATTTCACTGCTATTAACAAGCTTCAAAGATTCTCCACCCCAAAGACAAATTCAACTACAAAGAATAAACTTAAATTTTTTAAAGAAAATCACAAACGAACTTCTCCATTAAAAAATTTCAATTGGAAATATTCTCCACCTCTACTACTTCAACGAGAGGCAAAAAGTGATCTAATGACCACAAAAAAAGGCTGAAACAAGCCGTGAAATAGAATCACAATTGGATGCATCAAAAGAAGGATCTCAGCGAGAATCAACACCTTTAACCTCATGCAAATTATCAGCTAAATCAACAGAATTGTACCTATGTGGAGTCTGGATAAAAATGGGTATGTTATTAGTAACTGAATACAATGACACCGCCGATAATGGTGGCAGACGGATTCATCCATAACTTCTAAATTCAACTGAGATGTATTCTTCAAAAAAGATCCCGAACTAGATTCCAATGGTATAGAATCCAACATCAATTCCACCCGAATTCTTAAAATATTCTAATTGGTCAACGATTTTATATAACATTGCAAGATATATAAATGAGATTTTCTATGTCGCTTTAACAAAATATGGACTCCTTTACTAACTTTCAGGACCCCACCTTCAACAGTGCACCTGTACTTTTGAATTAAGAGTACTTAAGGAGATAAGATTTCTCTTTAGATCTAGAACATATCTCACTGCATCAAGTGTTCTAACTGTCCTATCAAATAATTTTATTCTAACTCGATCAATACTAGCTATCCAACAATGTATATTATTTCCATTACTACAACACCTTTTGAAAATATTTCACATGTTGAAAACGAATCCTGATTGAGATACATTTTAAAAATGCAAGCTATATCAATAATTTAATCCTTGTTAGGTTTGGAGTAGTAGACAGGAATAAGCAAAAGTTCTCCATCACCGTTATAAGTTTCAACAATAGTTTCACCTGAAGTATATAATTTATTTCCCTTCTCAAAAGCTACAGCTTAATCTTTTGTATTCTGCAACTTATTGCAACTTAATTAAGTGTCATGAATTCTTGCAATAAATTTTGAGGTTAGACCTTAATTATATGCTTCATCTTCTCATTTGAAATAGAGCATCATAGGCTTCTTCAATGGTGAGGTCATGACTATACAGGATTATTTGAGGCAAAAGAGATTTATGTGGTGGAATGGGAAGGGGACATGCTTGCATTAGGTGTCACAGAGAAGGACACGGGCAAACATGAAAATTTGAAGTTCAAGAATTCAATCATGCTTAAGCTAGATTCACTGTTAGGTGGATTTTTGTTAGAAGCATCATCCGAGGAAGATTTCACTGGAATGACAGGACAATCTATAGAACTAAGGCTTCGTGGACTTGGCTCGAAAAGGATAGGTCTAATTAGGCTTGGATCTATTACATCAGCAATTGCATCTTATCGCAATCTTGGAGAAACTCTTGGTGGATCAGCTAAGACTACTAAGTCGAATAAAATTGCAATCATACTTTCTTCTTTTGATTGGCTTTCTGAAGAATCAAAACTAGCCACTGTTATAGCAATAGCTACTGGTACTATTTTCTTTGTTTCTTTCCTTTTATTTGACCATCGCGTGAAGTGAACATGTTGGAATGTTCTATGATGTACAATCCAAAAGGAGCTGTGTTGGGGACTTACAAAGATAATAGGTTCAAGTTATAATCGAAGAAATCAACTCTCAAATTTGTGGAAATTCATGGTCTTGGAACTGGATAGATACAAAACTAAAAATTGTAGAAGTTGTGTGTTCTTGCATAATATTTGGAAAAGAGCTTGTAAATGCACCTGCTAATGTGCTCATCCCTGGTTATTAATCTTTCAAATTGTCTTATATATTTTTCCTATTAAGTTTTGCATTACTATAAAAAGGTTAATATTTTGCAAATTGTTAAAGTAAGTAGGAACTCTCTTCTTATATGTCTGTTTCAACGATATATTGCCTTTGTTGCATTAGTAAGGCAAAATTCAACTCATCTATTTTAACTTTGGTTTCATGGATATATTAGGAATATGAGGATTGCTTCTGAGCACAGTGATGTTTTTACTGCAACAATTTTGGATGTGGAGCAGTGCAAACAATTGAAAATGGGTTCTTATCTTGATGTTGCTGGTGCATCTGCTAATCCTCCACATTTCATCCATTTATATTACAAGCCTCCTGGTGGAGCAGTCGAAACCAAACCGGCCTTAGTTGGAAACGGGTTGATTTTTGACAGGTGAATATTGGTTTTTATGGAGGAGCAAAGGTCTTTATAATTGTGAAGAGAAAAGAATGCCCTTTAGAATCTAGCTGAAATGGGATCATGGACACTTCACTGAAGCAAAATCTTGAATTTGATTCTTTTATGTGCCAGTGGTGGCTACAATATTAAGACATGACCAGCTTGTTCCATTGAGCTCGTGAAATTTGAAATGGGAGGGTCAGCAACAGTGTTTGGTGCAGCAAAATCCCTTGATCAAATCAAGCCTGTTGGAGTACAGGTGACCATTTTTTAGTGTCACTTGTTTTTTAGAGACAACATGCTTGTGTCGTTGACTTGATTTGTTTTATTTTTTATCTAGTTCTTGTAATCTTTTACTTCGATTCTGAAATAACTTGTAATCATCTTCTTTTAGGGATCTAAAACTGGAAGAAAAGATCCTGATAATTGTTGTTGTTTGTGCAGGTTCATTTCATTGTTGCAGCTTGTGAGAATATATGATAAGTGGAACATGTATGAGGCCTGGGGATATTGTCACGGCATCAAATGGCAAGAAAATTGAGGTAATTTCTTGAAGGCATACATTAATTGTCAACATTTGGGGTTCCATATTAAAATGTCAACCTTATTAAGATGAGTAACTCAATCCTTTATAAGCTGGTCTATGTTTTTTAGCAGACCAATTTTGAAATTCGTGTACTCAATTTTTTGAGTCTTAATCAAATTGAATTGCTTGTTAAAGTTTAACGGGCTCTGATACCATGTTAAGACTTGCGGTTCCATCTTAAAAAGTCAAATCTTTTTAAGAGGATTAACCTAATCCTTTATAATTTGGACTATGTTTTCATCTTTATTTTATGTGTTATTTTTATCCCTTAACACTAATACAGATAGCTTATAAGTCTTTGTTAAATTTTGTATATGTTAGTTTTGAACATTCATGTTTTTGGTCAAATCTTACATGTAATCTTGCTTCTCATTCCAATTCGCCCAACTCAAGTCAAGTGTATGTAGCTGGATTAGGCCTCTGTTTGAAAGTTTCGAGATTTTGTTTCATGTTGAGTCATTTTGTCATCCGGCATGAGCTCTTGCATGTTGTTCAGTTGCGTTGGCGATGGATCAGTTATCTGCTTTGTATTTATTATTTTGAAGCTCTAACATGTTATTTGAAGAAGTTTCTTTTCCTTTCTGCTTTGCATTTATCGTTTGTAATCTGTTCATGGAATTAGAAGCTAGCTGATAGGTTGAAAGATTGAAGATAAGATTCTTTGTTCCATACATGGTATTCTTGTATGCTTATACAGACTCTTTTAAAAACATTGAATTAACCATATTAGACGCTTACTACTGGCACACGTGTTAAAAAATGTGTTAATATAGTTATTTATTAATGAATTTAATATTT